AAATAAAATAAAATAAAATAAAATAAAATAAAATAAAATAAAATAAAAATGAGCATAGGAGAGATAATGAGACCAAAGGAAAACCAGGTGAGTATGATGTTATAAAAGCCAGGGCAAGAGTATTTCAGAAAGAAGACAGGGGTCAGGTCAACTGCAATAAAATATTTCTGAGAGGCAGTAAGATGAGATCTGAAGATTGTCCTTGGGACAACTGAAGATCATTGGTGACCTTAGATCCTTTTAAGGTGGAATGATGGACAGAAAGACAAATAGTATATGATTTCACTTATATGAAGCTCCTAGAGTGATCAAAAGTAGACTAGTGGTTCCAGGGGTTGGAGGCAGGGGAGAGTGGGGAGTTATTTACTGGGGACAGAGTTTCAGCTGGGGAATAGGTTAAGAGTTCCGCAGATAGATGGTAGTGATGGCTGTGTTGCAGGATTTTTTACTTTCAATACCCTGGGTTCGTGGTCTCACCCCTTCGAAGAATGAAGAGGTGGACACAAAATGAGCAGCAGGCAAAAGTTTATTAGAGTATAAGACCAAAAAAGAAGAATAGTATGAAAGCTCTCTTTACAGAGAGAGGACATTCGAAAGTGAATGCCAGAGATGATAGGCAAGAGCCTTTGTTTTATAAGGTTCTGGTCAGCACCCCCTTCCCTTCCCTCTTGTTCCTTCTCAGATTCTACCTTTATTGGCTAGGTAACTCTAAAGGCCTAGTCATTCCTTTTTGATCAGCTCATTTCCATTGTATGAGGTGTGGTCTTAGGCCATACCATCTACTACTTCTTTTAAGTCAGGTCTTTTGTCAAATTCCTGAGGGAAACCTGAGGGGGAGGTAATATCTGTTACATTCTTAAGAGGAACCTTATGCCTGAGGGTTTGCTGTGGTCAGACACTCCCAGCATTGTTCCAAAGTATGTTCTTTTCTCTTTTCTCCTCAGGTCCTAATCTTTCCCTCTCTGCCTACTGATTCCTAAGGTTTCCTATCATAGCTGCACAGTATGAATGTACTTTTTTTTTTTTTTAAGATTTAATTTGTAGCTAATCTCTACACCCAATGTGGAGCTTGAACCCACAATCAGCAGATCAAGAGTCTCCTGTTCCACCGAGTGAGCCAGCCAGGTGCTCCACAATATGAATGTACTTAATACCACAAACTGTACACTTAAAAATAGTTAACACAGTAAATATTACCATGTTATGTGTATTTTACTACACACACATACATACATACATACATACATACACAAAATTCACCTTCTCTGTAAGGTCTGCCAGGTCACCCCTTGTAAAAAGACAAGCACTCCTTAGACCGGAAGAGAAGTGGAATCAGGTAGAGGCAGGGCGAGAAAGGCGGGAACTTCCGGGCCCGCCTCCTCCAGGGGAAGGGGCTTGAGATAGGCGGGTTAAGCTGAGACCAAGGGTGACACCTAGAGGTCACGTTAAAAACAGCAGCTGATAGTCACCCACGTGGCCCTAGAGTGGAGGGGAATGGCGAGGTGGGACCAGAGACGCGCGAGTTCAAGCACCCACCTTTTTAGGCTGGGAGAGAAGAGACAGGACAGGGTGGGGGTCAGGATTTTTAAGGAAGAGAGTGCACCTCCTCTAGCCCCGGGGCTTAAGCTGACTGACAGCTGCAGGAGGGGCGTGGCTCCGCCGGTTTGGCTCCAGGTCCACAGTCCCCACCTCCACCTACGCTGCCCTGGCCACTGTGGAAGGCAGGTGTGGCAGAAGGCCTCCTGCAGCGCCATCGCCTCACCCCCTTAGACCTGCGTGCTCTCCAGAGCCCACCCCTGGCATTCTTATCCCCAGGAGAAAGACAACGGCGGCCAGGCACGGAGGACCCATCAGGCGAAAGTTCCTCAGGGACTGCTAGGAAACAGGAGTCCTACGTTGGTCACGGCTCAGATGCCAGCAGGGCTGCAGGAATTGGAGTCTGGCCTGGAGGGAGACCAACATCAATGACCACCTGTACCCCACCGCGCTGGCTTCCTAAGCGCTGAATCTGTGCCCAGGGCCAAGGTCAAGCACAGTGCCCTTGTAAGGCAACTATGCCCTAACCAAGATCACCCTTTCTTTAAAACAGCCCCACTTGGCCTTCAGAAATCTACCCTCTCCCTCAAGAGCAAATGGGAAATGATGGGTCAGGGGTCCTGTTTCTGCTCTGTCTGTCCACACATAGAGTCCTTGAGAGGAAACCCCTTTGGCTGGACCAAAGGCCTGGAGGCACTAGAGCCGCTCACCTGGCGCCCTGACCATGATAGTCTATTCTCTCTTGGGGCCCTGACCATGATAGTGGGGGCAAAAGATAGCCTATTCTGCCCCAGCTCTCACGGAGCACTATTCCCAGGGACCTTCCCCCAGAATCCACAGCAAAGCCAGGACCTTCATAGTGCCTTCCCAGTGCTCAAGCCTAGGGAGAGAGGAGTAGTCCTAATGTGGCTGTTATTCTGGGACCTACTGCAGCCCCCTCTCCTTGTGACATGTGTCCCTACCCAGCCCACTTTGTTTGCTCTGCTCCCACATAACAGGCCCAGGCTCACAGGTTAAATCCTAGATCCTTTGCCAGGCTGCAGCATATTCTACCTTAATCACAACAACCCTATGAAGTAGGTACTATTATTATTCCCATTTTTACAGAGGAGAAAACTAAGGCTCAGAGAAGGTTAGCAACTTGCCCCAAGTCATACAACTACTAAATATTGGAGGTAGTTTTCAAGCCCAGGTCTGTCTGGCTTTTGGAACCCATGTTCTAAATTTACTAGTCCACAGAATAACACCAAGTGCCTTTTACCACCACTGATCAGCTTCTGGGTACTGCCTTCCTGGCTGCAAGCCTGAATACCCTGCCAGACCTCTTTTTCTCAGCCCTGTCCCTCCATCACAGCCTTCTTCCTCTTGCCAATGAAACTCAATGGTATTACATCAGGCTCCCTGACAATCTCCTTTGCAATGCTTTGAACCATAGTATCCATACCAAATGTCTCCCCAATTTTATGCTCTATTGCTCCTCTAAGGGTTTGGCTCATGTTCCTCACTGATTTGACTTTTTCTTTTCTTTTCTTTTCTTTTCTTTCCTTTTCTTTTCTCTCTTTCTTTCTTCATATTTTAGGTTCTACATCCAATGTGGGGCTTGAACTCACCACCCCAAGATCAAGAGCCACATGCTATACTGACTGAGCCAGCCAGGTGCCCCTCCTCACTGACCTTTTGCTTATCTTTACCCTTCTTGGAGTGCCCTTCCCAAACCCTCCAAGAGCCACTAGCTCAATTCAGGGTCTCACACAATTCTCACACAATTCTCACAAATCTCACACAATTCTGGGTCTTAAGGCCAGAAACACTCACAGAAAACTTCTCTGGCCCAGTACCCAGTCAGGAAGGTACAAAGAGCAAGGAGGGCTTGAGTTCTAGTCCAAATAGGGTCAGGACCTGGAGAAAGGACACCACTGCAGCTGTTTCTTTCAGATCCTGAGCCACCAGATTTTTCTCCAAATCTTTCTTGCAACAGGGGATAAAAGATTGTTGAAAGAGAAGTGGGGCTGAAGAAAGAGATAGGTGCAGTTGAGAAATTATCAGAGAGAAAGAAGAGAGTTTTGTAGAAGCTATATAAATGACCTATCTTTATACAACATGTTTCTCTGGACTAATTTGGGGAAGTTAAGAAAATCTGTAACTTAAAACATTTAATATATTTTTTTAACGTTTTAAAGGAACATCAAGACTTAAAGGCAAAGTTCTCTAGGACTCTTTTTTTTTTTTTTTTTTTTAATGTGAGGCTTGAATTCATAACCCTGAGATCAGGACCTGGATGCTTAGCCGACTGAGCCACCCAGGTGCCCCCTCTAGACTTTTTAAGGTAAAACTGGTAGAAATGACACTGGTAAGAAATTCAGGGCTTCGGGAGGGGGTGGGGGGTGGTAGGGAGACGGGGAAGGATTCTGGCTTCTCCCCCAGCTAGGGCTTGTTCCCTTTGCTCTGGGTTTAAAGGATGAGAGAGCCCAGAGTCCAGCACCGAATGAAGGCAGCTATTGTGATCTCCGGGGGCGGAGAAGGGAGGCTCAGTGCCAAAGGGTGTGGCCCAGCCAGAGGCTCTGGGAAAGAGCAGCCGTGCGTCCCTACAGTACCCTCGGCGACTGCGTCTGGGCGGGAGGGGAAAAGTCTGCAGAGTCCCGGGCTCCGCCCCCTCCCTCCTGCTCCGCCCTAGCTCTGGCTCCACGCGGTTTTCACCAAGCGCAGCGCAGACCGGGTGGTCGCAAGGCAGACCCGGATTGCAGAGGGCGTGGCAGGGAGAACCGCAAGCCCCTAAGGGGGTCGGGTCTGTGACTTCTCCCCGGAAAAGAGCGAGGAACGCGCTCTGCGGGAAAAACTGGACTCCACAGGCTTCCGACGACAAGCCTGGGACGAAGAGTCCGGGAGTTCTCAAGGACAGGTGAACGGCCCCAGGAGAAGGACAGGCAGGGTCACCATCTGGACCGCCATGGCCGCGTCCGCCCGTCGTCTGTGCCACATCGCTTTCCACGTGCCCGCGGGGCAGCCCCTTGCCCAAGATCTGCAGCTTCTCTTCGGGTTCCAGCCCCTGGCGGTGCGGGAAGCAGACGGCTGGCGGCAGTTGGCCCTGCGCAGCGGCGACGCGGTCTTTTTGGTGAACGAGGGCGCTGGGCCCCAGGAGCCCCTGTACGGCCTGGACCCACGTCATGCTGTGCCCAGCGCCACCAACCTGTGTTTCGACGTGGTGGATACGGGCGCTGCCGCCCGGGCGTTGGTTGCGCGGGGCTGCAGCGTGCCGGTGCCCCCTGTTAGCGTGAGGGATTCTCAGGGCACCGCCACCTATGCCGTGGTCAGATCACCTGTGGGCAACCTCAGCCTGACTCTGCTGGAGCGCGCCGGCTTCGGAGGGCCTTTCCTGCCGGGCTTCAGGCCTGTGCCCTGTGCAACCCGCCCAGGCTGGGTCAGCCACGTGGACCACCTGACCCTGGCCTGCACCTGTGGCAGCTCCCCAACATTGATGCGCTGGTTCCACGACTGCCTAGACTTTCGCCACCTGCCACTGAGCCCAGGTGAGGATCCGGAGCTGGGCCTCGAGGTGACAGCAGGATCTGGGCCAGGGGGACTGAAGCTCACCGCCCTGCAGACCACGCCAGGCAGCTCTGCCCCCACCCTTGTACTGGCTGAGTCCCTGCCAGGGGCTGCCAGTGGACAGGACCAGGTGGAGCAGTTCCTGGCCCGGCACAGGGGACCAGGACTGCAGCACGTGGGGCTGTACACGCCGAACATAATAGAAGCCACTGAACGGGTAGCAGTGGCGGGGGGCCAGCTCCTGGCTCCTCCTGAGGCATACTACCAGCAGCCGGGCAAGGAAAGGCAAATCCTAGCTGCTGGGCATGAGCCTAGCCGGCTAGCCCGACAGGGGATCCTGCTAGATGGCGATGAAGGCAAGTTTCTGCTTCAAGTCTTCACCAAGTCTCTCTTTCCAGAGGACACCTTCTTCCTGGAGCTGATTCAGAGGCAGGGGGCGACAGGCTTTGGCCAGGGCAACATCCGGGCCCTGTGGCAGTCGGTGCAGGAGGAGCAAGCCTCCAGGAACCAAGAAACCTGAGAAGGGTTGGGGCTGGGTTCACCCTCCTGTCCTGGAGCACAGGGCCTATTGCAACGGAGAAACACCCATGGAGGCTTGGAGTGGAGAGGGCTTTGTCCCCAGGGCCATACCTGCCAGAACTTGAATCTCTCACTGGGGTGCCAAAGAGGTGGGATTTTATTTTTTCTTTTAAACTATGAAATATTCTTACATAGTCTATAACTAATATATATGCAAGATATAAAGAATAAAGGAATTACGTAATTAGGAAACAGAATATATCAATACTTTTGAACCTTCCTTGTGACCTCTGATCCCATTTCCCTTCACCCCACCCCTAATTTTATTATTAACTCCCTGATTTTCTGTATTGTTTCACTACATATGAAACAATGCAGATATAAATTTAGTATTTGAGGTAGGAATTTATGACAGAACAAATCCTCCCAGTGTTTCCCTTCTCCCCAGGGAGCAGCCTCTGCAGGTGGGGAAGGGTTGGGTCAGGGCTGAGCCCAACCACCTGCTCTAAGACAATACCACTACTCCAGTCAGAGCTGACCAAAGACCTGGACCAAGGGTGTCGGGTGTCAGCCACTGGCAGGGGCCCCCTAAAGCTGCCTTCTCCTTCTCTCTTGGAGGTTAGGAGAGGACAGATCACTCTGGACAGAATGCCCACCTCCACTGCCCAGGGCTGGCTGGGAGCTTGGCCAGAAGTCAGCACCAAGCAGGACTTTACCACTTTCTGGGATCCCCAGAGAGAAAGAATGAGAGGACTAGGAGGAGGGCAGGAAGTCTCCAAAATGACTAAAAAATAAGCACTTTATTAAACAACAGGATTCTCAAGAAGTAGGGGCTCCAGCGGTGTCACTGCGCCATACTGTTGAGGCTGGATACATCAGTGGGGTGGTGGGGCCGAAAGAAACTATCCAGGACTTGCTGGCCTGGGCTGGGCTTTCTCTGCGTGGATGGAGCAGACACCTGGGATCTTTTGGAACCCTGTGCAGAAGCCAAAAGAAGGAGGTAATAAGGGGGCAACAGAGTCCTCTCCTTCCACTCCTCTCCCCATTGCAGTGATAGAGCTCAGATTCTAGCCTGAATGTTGTAAACCTTCCAACCTCTTCTATCAACTCTATATGGCAGCCCAAGGTAGTCTTCCTAAGATACAAACCTCACTCCTCTCCACCAAAAATGCCTTAGTGGCCTGGTGTTCATGGCCCTGACTGGCCTGCACAGACCCTGCTATGCTTACAGCTCCTTGAGCACTGCAGACTGCATTGTGGCACCTTTGCTCATGCTACTCTTGGGCCTGGAAAGAACATTCTTACTGCTGATTCCCCTCCCAGACCTGGAGAAAATGATTCATTTCTTGAACCCAGAATACCAGCTGCATCTTCTAAGCAGGCTTTCCTGATCCTTGCCTCCCAGATAGAACTGAAAGCTCTCCACCTTACAAACCACAAAACTTGGTACAAGCATTTCACATACCTGTGACCCTGTTGTTAACATCATTTGTTCTTATTCCCTTTCCACCCTGGACCCTAGACTGTAAGGTTTCAAGATAAGAACTGTTCCTCTCCCTAAGGTGAAGCCTGGTGTGGAAAATGTTCATCCAAACATGTGTCATTTAACTCAACTGAAAACCTGTGGATTCGGGCCTGGGGAGAGATGCCTGGGTGAGGGCCAAGAGACTCACCTTGAAGGTCCCCGGCCGTTGGCCCTCGTATACACGGAACACCTAGCCAAGGACAGAGGGGGAGAGTGCAGGATTGGCATCTTTCCCCAGAAGAGCCAGACCCCTTTGTTCTCTCAACTTCATGCCCTAGTACATCTGTTTAAAATATGGTTTTTTCCTTTTACACAGTAATAGGTTCACATAGAACATATAGGAAGCACAAAAAGGTACAACGAAGACAACACAGGTAGTGCCTTTTTCATGGCAGTGGAGACAGCTGCGGTGTGAAACTCCTCCCGGGTCAGCCAGCGAGCTCCAGGTGGTGTGGTGGTCACTGGGATCTGCCCTTCCAGGGCCAAACCATATACTTGATATGTCAGCTTGATGTGAGAGAAGGTGTGGACCACCTGAAGGGAGGGTCAAGGGACTGAAACAGGCCTGTGGATATGTCCACAAAGCCATTACTCCTGCTCCTTCCACTGGTCACTCACCTGCCCAAAGTGCTGGAGGTGGGTGGCTGGGAGGGGCCCAACCCAACTCTGTAGTTCCCGCAGCAGGGCCTCACGCTGACATTGCCCTGAGGGCTCTGCAGTCACAGATGGGAACTCCCACAGTCCTGCCAGCAGACCTGAGAGGAAGGACAGCCAGGTGTGGTTGGGCCTTAGCTGCTGACTCCTCCATTTCTTCCGTGTTGCTCATGCCACTGCCCTCCACTCCAAGGATCCAGGTACCTGACTTAGGCCTCTGCACCAGCAAAATTCGAGCACCCCCAAGGGCCCTGGGCTGCTCCAGAACACAGGTGGCAGAGCACTCCTCCCTGGGGGACCTCCGGCTGGCCTTTCTGGGAAAGTTGGCCACTCCCAGGGTCTGGTCCCAGGGCTCTGTGGGAGGCGCACACAGCTGGCACTGTCCAGCGCTGGGAGCTGGGAAGAGAGATCCCAAAGCCCCACTCAGGCTTAGGTGAACTTAGATGCCAACCCCAGAGAGCCGGCCGTGGCCCAGCTCTGCAGAATCTTATTCAAGTTGTAGGATTAACTAGAATGATGCTTCCACAAGCAGCTCCATGACAGTGCAGTGAAGGGCTGGGGCTGGTACTTACCACACTCCTCCACATCAGGACTGCCTGGCAGGCTCTGTGAGGCTACGAGCTGTTCCCGCTCCACCTAAGAGGCATAAGGCAAGGTGTCATAGGGAAGGGGGTCACCCTCTAGGACCCCTGACTGCCCCTTCCCCAGATGGCTCACCCTCTGGTGTGCCCGGCACACGCTCTGCACAGGGCACTGGCTGCAGCGTGGGTGCTGTGGGGTGCATACTGTGGCCCCCAGCTCCATGGCTGCTTGGTTAAAGTCCCCTGGCCGGGCTGGGTCTACCAGCTGCTGGGCTAAGCTCCTACAAGGAAACATTGCTGTAACCCAAAGACACTTTGGAGACACCCTTCCCAGTCTCCCCTATTACCCCAATATCCTACCAGAGCTGCTGGGAGACAAAGGTGCTTCCGGAATCAGCACCAATGGCTCGGACACGGCACAGCACCCGTACTACATTCCCATCTACCACACCAGTTGCCTGGCACAGAGGAATCCAGAAGTCAGCCTGGTCTGGGAGGAAGGTGGGTGGGCACACACAAAGTAGGGGTGGGCTATGGACTCACCTGACCAAAGGCAATGGAAGCAATAGCTCCAGCTGTGTACCGCCCCACGCCAGGCAGAAGCTTCTGCAGAGTCTCTGCTGTATGTGGCACATGGCCCCCTAGCTCTTCTACCACCTGATTGGGGTGGGAAGGCTCAAGGTTATGTGCTACCTGAGGCCCTGGGGCTCACCCTCCCTGTCTCCCCCTTACCTTCTGGGCTCCCTCCTGCAGCCGCCGGCCTCGAGAGTAGTAGCCCAGGCCAGCCCAGAGCTGGTTCACCTCCTGTGGGTAGAGTCAGAGAGATCAGTGGTCAGTCCTCAGTTGTCCCCATTCCCCCTACCTTAGGGTGGCACTCACCTCCAGGGATGCACTGGCCAGGTCCTGCAGCGTTGGCCACTTCTAGAGCCCGAAAGTGATCAAAAGGAAGTAAGGTCAAGGGTGAGAGAGGTGAAGGAAGCCTTCTTTACCCCCACCCCAAAGGCTAGGCTTTCTCTGGGGTCTGGCTCAATGACCCTCCCCTTCTTTCCCTGAAGTCACCTGCATCCATCGGGTATAATAGTCGATCACCGTGGCAACCTGGGTCTGCTGCAGCATGACCTCTGAGACCCACACTGGGGGAGAGGGGTTGGCATGAGGGCACTGCTGAGCTGCCCTGCTCCCAGCCCACAGCCCCTACACCCCAGACCAGTGGGCATCCAGGCAAAGCAGCCCTGTTCTCAGAAGATGCACTCACCAGCATACGCCCGCCTGTCAGGGTCCACCTCACCCTCTGCCTGCCAATGCATCCCAGACAAGGAGTTAGTGTGGAGGGGGCCTGGCACTAACCCCCCACCCCACTGTCCCTGCCCCCTAGCCTGCTTACCCGCCTTCTCCAGGGCAGGTCCCGTTTCTCTCGGTCGTACCAGCTCAGAAGGTTCTCCCGAAAGACTGTGACCTCGGCTGTGTCTCTGAATAGATGGTATGGGGAGACAGAGGCCCGTAATACCACCTCCTTCTGCCGCCTGGCCAAGCCTGCTGGGGCCTCAGGAAACTTAGGCATAGTTCCTGCACGGACAGTGCACCAGGTACCCAGGGCACTGTAGTCTGGCTGCTCCACCTTAGTGCTTCCCCCAAACCCTTGCTTAAGCTTTGAACCTGGAGTCAAACCAAAATGCTGTGTATGTAACCTTAACCAAATTTCTAGCCTTAACTTTCCTAGGGTGGTAGTGCTGGCTCCTTTGTCTCTGGGTCACGATGAAAATCCAACAGTTTCAGCCAAGCATAATGTGTACCTGTTCAGGACTTTCCCATTTACAAAACACTTTCAGGCTCATAAACTCATCTGATCCCACAAAAGCCACAGGAGGAAGGAAATACACAAGCTACCACTCCATGTCACTGGTAAGAAAGCAGCCACTCAGAGAAATCATCCCAAAGTTACACAGCAAAGTCAGAATTAGATCGTAATTAGTCCCTTGAAGCCTTGATGCACAACCACGCTGTCTTCCCAGCCTGAATCGACCTTTCTTTCACGGCCAACGAAACCAACCCCTTCACCTTTGACTCAGACCAAGCTCCTCACCATCAGGGGTAGAAGGCTTGACCTGGCTGCTGCTAAGGACCTGCTTCTCCCTTCCCTCATGGCCAGACGCCTGATTCTGGCGACAACTCCTCACAGTGGTTCGTGGCTTCTTCATGATGGCCTAGAAGAGAAAGGCCCAAAGTAGTCTGTCACAATGAGGTTGAATCTTGGGGCCCTTCAGTGAGTATAGCCACTTTCTCTACAGCACTTATTATAGAGTGTCTAGCTTTTCTTACTCTCCAGATGCTCATGGGGTTGCTCTTGGCTGGCTGTGGCACTGAGGTATGACCAGTAGGGCTCTTTCTGCAAGTGACTTCAGAGGGACCAACATTAGCATAGTCCTGGAGACACACATAAAAGAAGAGGCTGGGGCTGGGCTGGGGGCTGTACAGGAGCACCTGTATGTGTGTCCCTGA